CCCCTCTTTCCTATCTCCTTTTCTTCCATCTCTCTCTTACTGGGTCCTTTTTCTCTCCTATCCTATTCACTTCTTCTTCCTTACCGACGTGGGATATCCACCTTGCTAGAAATTCTGCCTTTTTCCCCTCACTACCAGTGTCGCCACTCTCACCCCAACAATTCCTCCCGTTACCCGTGCCTCGTTGTCCTAACCTCTAAATTTACTTTTTCTTTTTCTCCCTTTTTTATTCTCGTCTACCTATTCTCTTCTCTCTCCTTGACTCTACCCCGAATTTTTCTAACCCTCTCCCTCACCCCTCACTCGCTCTCTATCGCTCTTTTCCTTTCACACACCCTTTTTCACTCTCAAAAACTTTCACTACGCTTTCTTTGCTTCTATTTACTTTCTCGCCCGGAACCGGAAAAACCTCGTACGTTATTATTATTATTATTATTATTATTATTATTATTAGTTTATTTGATATTTTTTAATTCTATTTTTTTCAACATATTTTTTCCCATTATATAATATTTTCCGCTACTTATGTTGTAGTAATTTATTCCCCTATTCCTTATCCTGTGTATTGCCGTCAGTCAAATAAAATATTTTATTTTTTAATATATATCTTGTTTACAGTTATTTTAGTACCCGTCCCTTTCCTATATCCCCCCAAAAAGGAAAAGTGTGAATTATTTATATATACATTCATTTTTTACAATCAGATCATGACGAAGATTGTATATAAATGTACATATACTGTATACATGACAAATGTTTATGGTATCTTTTATTTTTTTTATTGAATAAAGTAAATGCATTATCAATTTTGCAATTTAGTAATTATCAAGAATTTTATTTTATAATTTATCATTTTCTTTTTATTTCGTTCATAGTATTACAATTCATGTTATTCAAAAACAAATATAGTACGTTCCTATCACACTTATATAGTTCTTATTCCTACACATTCGTACTTCGGAAAAACATTTGATACCACTTATATACATATATCGGAGTACCATATCGGGACATATTATTTAAAAAAAAAAACTAACCTTAGGCATTCGAATTGTAGGAATATTCTTCCCTTGGTTATATTATATTACAAGAAATGTATATATAATATTTGGGTGAAGGAGCATACATTTCCTAGGTCATGTATGCAGTATCGTATTTTATACTTTGGCGGTAGCATACATAATATAGCTATCGTAGCATCCGTGTGTCATTGTTAGATGTATGCGAAAAGTGATGTAGAATAGCATGCCGTTAGTTGGATGCAATAACTGAGGTGGCGCTTAAATCAGTTTCTGTTCGGCCTAATTTTCGATGAAACGTTGGCTGTTTTACCGACGCGGAATTCGAAGTTCGGCCTCGACGCTCGCATCACCTTAAGGCATCTTTACAGGGTACGAAACGAACGTTGTAAAGACATCTGAAATTCGTGTCTTTAAGGCATCTTTACAGGGTACGAAACGAACGTTGTAAAGACATCTGAAATTCATGTCTTTAAGGCATCTTTATAACGTACGAAACAAACTATTCGAACTATTCGTATTAATTATTTGAACGCATTGTTAAATGGAACGAATGCTAAATGTATTTATAAGTGTGACTGGTCAATACGTGTTGTTTAGGTAGCCCTGAAGAATTTTTATATGAATGTAACATAGTTTCATAAGAAGGGTAATATTGAAATGTGTAAACGCGTTTTTTTCTTAGTACCATTACGATTCCTAATACAATTTTCAATCATTTGGGAGTGTAGCTGAAGAAATATACAATATTTAACCAATTGCCTTGACCTCTTAAGATAGAGAAAAGCAGGATTCGCTATGCTTATCCGGCTAGACCCTTTTGGACAATGTTTTGAGGCAGGTCATATGCGTTCTATTAGCACGTTTCCCCTTCTTAAGGAAAGGTCCTCCAAGTCTGTAAATACGTAAGATATCTTTAGGGCGTTTGTAAGATATCTTTAGGGCATTCATAAGACATCTTTAAAACGTCTGTAAAGCATCTGTCGGATATCGGTACGACATCTTTAAGACATCCCGTTTTCTAACATAGGATGTTAACAGGACGTATTTCAGGTATTCGCAGGACTTCAGATATTCGTAAAATATCCTCAATATCTGGAACAGATATCTTTAAGATATTTTAACGATGTTTCTGTGCTATCTGGGGAATTACCTACTCCCGAAGAATTAAAGGTAAAATTACTTGACGAATATCAGGTTAGAAGACGAAACAAGCATGAAAAATCCGAAGCCATGTTAGCAGCGAAATCGGGACATGTGTTCGGGAATAAAAACTACGATAACAGATCTTCTGGAAAAGGGAGTGAACAACGATTTAAATTTAAATGCCATAAATGTAACAAAGTCGGACACATGTCAAAGGACTGTAGATCGCTACGACCTGAAAGTAATAAAAAGCCTGACGGAAAGGAAATGTCGAAAGTAGCCGAAGTAGCTATGAAAATTGAAATAGGTACAAAGTCTGATTTGGAAAACAAATGGTGCTTGGATTCTGGTGCATTGTCACACATGTGTTCCCATGAAGAAAAATTTGAAGGTATTGGGAAGGCAAATATACATACATTAAATTTGGCAAGTTCAGAATCAACTTCGATAGAAGGAATCGGACCAGTGCAAATGAAGATAGGCAAACATTTTTCGGCGACTCTGTAAAAAATGTTGTTCGTCCCAGACCTTCGTTCTAATTTGTTGTCAGTAGCCAAAATCACTGATAACGTATTTGATGTATTATTTCGGAAAGAGGGTACCGTGGTCATCAATCGGAAGATTGGGCAAGAAATTTTCACAGCCAAACGAGAAGAAGATTTATACTTCGTGAAAGAAAAAGCCGAAAAGGCCAACATCTCACAAGCAAACACATCGAATCTCCAAATATGGCATGAAAAATTCGGCTATCTCAACGAGAAAGATTTGAAGAGTCTGATCCACAGCGGTAAGGTAAACGGAGTTACGATAAACGGTAATGAAAAATTACAAATTTGCGAAATCTGTATAAAAAGAAAACAGACGCGAATTTCTTTCCCAAAATCGCTTTCCCGATTCACAGAGCTTTTGAAATTGGTCCACACGGATGTTTGTGGTCCCATGAAAGTTGAATCTCTTGCAGGGTCAAAATATTTCGCAACCTTTATTGACGATAAGTCGAGATGGTGTGAAATTTATTTTCTGAAAAAGAAAAGTGAACTCTTTGCAAAATTTTTTGAATTCAAAACCAAGGTTGAAAAACAAACTGGGAAGAATATTAAGACTTTGAGATCAGATAACGGGGGAGAATATCGGAGCAACGAGCTGCAGAATTACCTGAAGAAGGAGGGAATATGTCATCAACTCACTACGGAATATACTCCCCAACAAAACGGCATTGCAGAGCGTAAAAATAGGACACTCGTGGAAATGGCGAGATGCATGTTGCTTCAGTCCGGCCTCCCTCCAAGCTTTTGGGCAGAGGCCATTTTGACTGCGGCTTATATTCGTAACAGATGTCCAACAAGAAGTCTGGATGGCAAAACACCTCATGAAGTCTGGACGGGTAAAATACCAACTGCAATCTTTTGGAACCAGAGCCTATATGTTGAATAAGCCACCCGAAAGAAAAATAGCTAAAGGAAAATTTGGTGAACGAGCAACCAAATGTATTTTTGTTGGGTATTCAACAAATTCCAAGGCTTATAGGTTGTGGGATACGGAATCAAGAAAAATTTATCGAAGTCGTGACGTCAGGTTCGTCAAAACTTTTGAAGGGCAACAGGAGTTTAAGGACTTCATGAATGAAGAAATCTCACAGCATTGGAAGAGAGATCCAATTTCGATCGACACGGAAGAAGAGGATAACGATCAGTTGAAAGTTACTTCTGTAAATCAATGAAGGAAATCTAGCAAGCATTGACGACAGAAGGTCATACACCGGCTACGTCTTTCGACTTTTCGGCGGTGCAATCAGTTGGTCATCGAGAAAGCAGAGGACGGTCGCCATGTCAAGTGCTGAAGCGGAATATATGGCGCTATCGGAAGCGGCAAAAGAGAGCATCCACCTGCAAAGATTTTTGACTGAAGTCGTTGGAAAACTGAAAACAACACTGATTTTGTGTGACAATCAAAGTGCTGGGTTAATGGCGAAAAATCCAGTTTACCATGAGCGTACAAAGCACATCGACATTAGACATCATTTTGTGCGTGAGTCGGTTGAGAGAGGTGAAATTCGAATCGGGTATCTTCTGACTGAAAAGATGCCCGCTGACGTCTTAACCAAAGGACTGTTGATGACAAAGCACGAAAAGTGCATTCAAGAAATAGGTTTAAGGGGGTAGACACGGGTAATAGTAGCGCGTTGACATTACCGGCAAAAATGGGCATAAACATGAGTTTACGCGCTTCCGTTATTCGTCCTTGTATGGCAACATTTAGGGCTGGGTGAAGGCTTATTCGAAAGAGGAAGGTTCAGTGAATAACGGATGGCCGTAAAAGCATTCTCGCAGACCAGTTCCGCCATTTTGTGGATAATACAGATCAAGTCATGTGACAAATTCAGTTCAGCTAGTGGTTAGAAGGTGGCGTATAAGGAGAACGTCTGCTAACGTGTAATCATGGCAAAAAACAATATCTTTACAGTAAAAAGTCAATAGCAAATAGATGAACAAACTTAGTTAATATGCACAAATATAATTGAATATAAATATTGTTCTTAAATATAATTAAATATAAAAACGCGACATAATACTTCTTGCCAATTGAAAAAAAAAATTTGAATATGTATTTATTTTACATATTTTACTTTATGTTTTTTATTAAATACACCTATATATTAAAAAATTATGTACTAATAATATTATATTTACTTATATTATAATTAGGGTATGGATAGAATGTACAACAAAGAAAGCATAGTATTTTTGTTTTTTTTTATTTATTGAAAAATGATAGTCGGATTATTTTTGCTATAAGTGCCCCATTTTCCTCCGCCTCTTCCTCTACCTCCTCTTCCTCTGCCTCCTCTTCGTCTACCCTCTCCTCCGCCTCTTCCTCTACCTCCTCCTCTTGCTCCTCGACTATATTTCAGTCGCTTCAGTTCCTTTTTGAGCTCTGCATTCTGTAAGATAGAACATAAACATAATTATTGTAGTATAATCATATGGATGTTGATTCCACGCTGAGAAATCGCAATTATATATATATACTTACTTGTTTCTTATATGTTGCGAGTAATTGAATTAATTCCTTGTTCAAGTCCTTGTTCATTTCCTCATTAGGTTTCTCGCTACTTTCTTTCCTCCCCTGATTTATCTGTTCCTAAACAGAACTATTTTTATCGTTTTAAAAAATTACAATTTGTTGAAATCATTAAAAAAAATAGAGAATGGTAATTTTTCAACTGAAATGACTTTCGTAGATTCAGATAAGTTGTGTGTATGCTAAAAATTTCATGTATATCGGTGAACGCATTTAAAAGTTATAAATAATTAAAATTTCCGAAAATCTCGACTTTTCATCTAAGAACAGTTCACACAACACATAGAAGAATAAAAGTGATAGAGATAGTGAGCGTAAAGGTACTTACGTGATTCTGCTCTGTATTTTTTGCCAATTCACCATTTCCTTGGCTCTCCGCCATGGTACAATCCATTTTTTCCTAAAAATATGCACAGTAAATAATAAAAACTTCTTATTTCATAAAATAAGGAAGACACGAATGTATGTGCGTCTGGAAGGTACTTACCATCTTGGATTTCTGATGCTCTCCCCGATTTTCTTTTTTTTTCCGCACAACGGTGAATACGCGCAAGAAAGCAATACAGTTTTCAATACAGTTTTCATTTGTTGTGTATAATTTATAACTTTTGAACTATTTCATTTTTATATATTATTGTGCTAATTGTGTGAATATGGAACGAAAAGAAGAAAGTGAAAATGCAAGAAGCAGAATGCATTTGAAAGGGAATAAGAAAAATCGGAGTTATACCATATTTGCAAAGCGTATATCTAAAAATAAAAAACGGCAAGAAAGGTAAGTTATGTTTTATATTATAGATTTGTATGAAGTCATTAGTTTTCGATGCAATAATATCATGGTATTTTATAATCTGTAATACAATATTACATATTCCCTTCTCTCATTCTCTCCCTTCTTTCATTTTTTATATTGGAGCTCTCCTTTGCGCGTTTGGCGCCTACCATGATTGCGCGTACCATCGACTCCAATTCTTGGGCCCCTCTCCGCTATTTGTCTCCCATTCACATGTTTTGAAAGCGGATATCCAGCGAAATTTCGCGTCGATCGTGTGTACAAGAACGCTCGCAACAAAAGACGATCTCGCCGTATTTATTTATAGTAATAAATATCATTTCTCTAATATTGACCATTTTATTTTCATTTTCAATATTATACCATGAAATTATTAAATCAATTCTAAACTGTAAATTTACGCATTATGACTTGAACTTCGCTCTTATCGGCCGTCCCGCGATGCCCGCGTTTTTTTTATCTTTGTTACGGTTACAATGTCTGTTATCAATTATCGTTTCTTACAAACTCAGATTGTTTACAAAATCAGAGCTGTACAAGATTTCCACTTTTCAGCCTATTTCGGACTTGCTCCGCCAACCGCTATTCTCCTTGCCGCGACGTTCAGCGCGCAGCGTACGAAGCATTCAAGGCTCAAGAGCGTATCACTCGTAAACATATGCTGGCAACCACTTAAAAAAAAACGCATCGACAATAGTACCTCGTGGGTGAGGTGGGAAGCTATTGCCAGCGTACGTTTATGAGTGATACGCTCCTGAGCCTCTAACGGATCGTAGGTTGCGTGCTGAACGTCGCGGCAAGGGGAATAGCGGTACGCGGAGCCAGCTGAAAATCAGCTGAAAAGGGCAAATCCTACCGAGCTCTGTTATAAATAATTCGACGTATATCGTGTTTCGACTGAATTGTCACGTGAAAAATTTCAACAGTACGGCCCTGATCCATTGAAACATTGGCAATTTTACGCTGCTCCAGCTCTCACTCCATCTTTCTCCTTTAGAATAGAGGTCCGGAAAATGAGTGAGAGGTCTGTGAAAGCGAGAAGCCGATGTTTTGTTTGGGTGAAGGCAATTAGTAGAAGAACGATGGAATATGCTTTCTCATTCTAGTATTAGCTATTCTGATGTGTTCCGAGCCTCTCATGCTATCCTTCTCTTTTACGACCCTGTTTTACTACAAAAGCGAGCCGCGGCGACAGAGTCTTGCCGCCCAGTCATAGAATTTCGAGTCTCCTCTACCGTCATTGCAACATTTAGATTCCGACCACAGTCGCAATCTCGGAGGAATTACTATACTGCGAGTAACAACAATATACAAAATATACAAAACTCCTTGTCGATGCGCCAGTGAAAAAGAGTTTCACAATTAAATTTTCTTTATTTCTTCAAGAGCGGCATTTAAAACATCTTTTCGTATATTATATATCCATTTATGTATATCAATAATTTAGGGAACATTTTGAATATTTGTAATTACATGTCCTGTGTATTACTAGCAATAATTATATAACATTCGTACACAGATGTGCACTAATATTTCGTCAAAAGAAATAAGAGGGAGTATAACACGCAATTAGTAAATTGGAGCATGTTTCGATCATGTGCTTCTACATGCTTTCGGAAACGCATAGTGCGAGAATGAGAGGGCATGCTATATTCTATCCTTGTTCAAAAAGTAACATCGCTGCTCGGCCGATCGCTCGGATCTCTCACTCGTTTCTCGCGTTCTCTATCGTCCCGTTTCGAGAACAAAGTCAAGCCGAATAGCATACCTGCTTCGAAATAAGCAACTGTTCTGTCCCGAGCCACTTGCTTATTTCGAGGCAATCCTGTATGACTCGAATGTGTCGGATTACCCGTCGCGATCAAGCTATCAGCTGCGATCAAGGTACTCGAACATTTGAACGGTTCGGTTTCTTTCTCGCTTTCTCTCTCTCTCTCTCTCTCTCTCTCTCATGCACACTCGCCTCATTCGTTGAACTTCATACTACCTTCCGTAATAAGCAATTGTTTTTATTTGGTACCTGCATGTGTGTGTGTGTTATTTCTACTTAGGCGTCGTTTGAAGAAGGCAGCGTACCTCGCGGTAGGTCAGAGCACCTGTACCGTAGACGATGCAGGTACCAGCTCTTCCGAAATGCTCCAACACTCGCCTGTTGCGACTGATTATTCTGCGATTGAAGAACCTTCCACTTCTTATGAGCTGCTGCCACACTCGCCTCCTGCTGACGATTTTTCTGTGATTGAAGAACCTTCCACCTGTTATGAGATGCTTCCACACTCGCCTGCTGCGAATGATTTTTCGACCGTGGAAGCGTATGAAGAAAACGTGGAAAAAATTGAGGCGTATGAAGTAAACGTAGAAAATATTGAATCTGATTTAGAAGATTACGCATTAATAGAAACAGCAGAACCACCGTAGTTAGAAAAAAAATCAGTTTCTAGCGGGATAGATTTCGTCGATTTTCAACATGTTTTCAAGCAAATAATACAGCTTGGAAAACATTCAAGTATCGGCTGTGGCGTGGAACACTTCCAAATAATTGGATGTCAACAAAACGGACTTGAAAAAAAGTACAAAGTAAAATGCCAAATGTGTAATCACGTTGAGTGCGTATCGTGCCTTCAGAACAGTGATAACACGATGGACATCAACCGCAGCGCTGTTTCCGGTACAATGATGACAGGCGGCGGATACAATCAACTAGAAGAAATACTTTCTGGCATGAACGTGTCCTGCATGAGCAAGAGAATTTACGAAAAATGCCAAGATGAAATAATCGATGCGTTCGAATTGGCTGCACAACGAGAAATAGAAGACGCAGGGAAATGAGAAAAAGAGCTAGCCATAGCAAGAGGCGATATGCTTCCAGGCTGTAATATACCATGCATTCCAGTTGTCGCAGATGGCAGCTGGATGAAGAGATCATACCGTGGAGGTGATTATAACTCTCTGTCTGGTGTAGGAGCCATCGTGGGATACCACACCAAAAAGGTGCTCTACATCAATGTAAAAAATAAATTTTGTATAATTTGCCAAATCGCTGCCAAGAAGAAGGAAGAGGCACGGCAGCATCGTTGCTTTAAAAATTGGGGTCGTAACCAGAATTCAACTGGTATGGAAAGTGCTGCTATTGTAGACGGATTTAAATGCAGCATACAAATGCATGGCCTGATATATTCAATATTAGTTGCCGATGGAGATAGCAGTGTGTACAAAAAGATATTGGACAATGATCCATACAAAGAATATATGGTGCCTGTACGAAAAATTGAATGTACCAATCACCTGCTACGCAACTTTGGTAGAAAAATAAATGAGATCGCCACAAAAGGCCGCTTCAAGGAACTACGAGCTATTGTAAAAGAGAATGCCCTTCGCCTGCGCACTGGTGTGAAAAAAGCTGCAGAATACCGATTCAAAGAGAAAGTAACACTCGCTGATCAAATAAAAAATTTAAAAACAGATGTGAAAAATGTAGCGAGTCATGTTTTCGGTGAACATCAGGAGTGTCAACGACTAGCATACTTCTGCAACAAATACTCTGACCCGAACGGAGTGAACTATGTTCCACAATTAAAAGAATGCGGTATTTATCAAAGCATTGAAGAAGCAATGCAACCGCTCTTTCCTCAAGCTGAAAGCTTGTTATATGGATTAAATAATAATGCAGTAGAGAGTTTCAATAACATAATTGCGAAATTCATCGGTGGCAAAAGAATAAACTTTGGACGCAAGGGCTCGTATCAGGGTAGAGTCTCTGCTGCTGCTCTTCATTTCAATTCAAGAGAGTCGTTCAGCCGATTGAGTACTGCTATGAACAAGGAACCGACAGCCATCGTACAAAATATGGAACAACGGCGTAAGCATGCATCGCAAATGGCAGCGAAATATAAGCAAAATGCCAAAGCATGTTCTTCTCGATACGAAAAGCAATCGTGCGACAAAGATTACGGCCCCACGGCAGAAAAACCAGATATGGAAGAAGCAGTATTCTCTTCTGAGTGTGAGAGGCACATGCTTACACTCCTTCAGTGGCAAACGATGAGACATAAAATTGAAGCAGAAACTCGCGATCAGCCCAAGAGCGAAAAATGGATAGCCTACCGTAAAAAATTATTAACTGCATCGCATTTCGGCAAGGTATGCCGATTGAGAAAGAATACACCAAGAGGAAATACGATAAAGAGTATAATGTGTCCGCAAATTCAATATTTGCGTTCCCTTGAATACGGAAGAGAGAACGAGGCAAATGCCTTGAGACAATTGGAAACGGAAATGGGAATCCATATTCTACCGTGTGGTTTATTCATCGATGCCGTTGTGCCTTATTTAGGTGCAACTCCTGACGGCCTCGTGGACGATGATACTATCGTCGAAGTGAAATGCCCTGAATCGGCGAAGGATTTATCGCCTGCTGAAGCAATAGAGCAACTTCCTGCAATACGGCGTATTTTCCGGGGTGATGAAATGAATAAAATTCATCATTACTATTATCAAGTGCAAGGACAGTTACACGTAACGAATAGACAATGTGCTCTATTCTGTTTATGGACGAAGAAAGGAATAAAAATTACAAAAGTACAAAGAGACGACAGATTCTGGGCAACAGAAATGGAGCAAAAACTGAAAAGGTTTTATGAAAACTCCATGTTGCCAAAAATTATAGACAGCAGATTTAATCGGCAGCAACCTATTAGAGAGCCTGCATACATAAAACAGAGCAACAATACATGTACCAGTACACAAGAAAGTACATGTGACGATGTACATAAAAATCAGAATTGCACCGACGAGTGCACACAGTTCATATGATG